GTGGAGTTCAGGGGTGTTACCCTGGAAGCAAGGGAAAGGTGAAAACTCCAAATAGAAATGAACACATCAACTAACAGTGAGGTGGCTTTATTGTTTGGGTGGTTGGTGGTCTAAAATAGAGGTTACTCAGGGTCTACCCATAGGTGTGCGCCACAAAAACCATCTTTGGAAGGATCCCTGGTTGAAAACCACCGCTCCAAGATGTACTGTTTGGGCCAACTCCTAAACACAAAACACACAACTTAAGCGCGAACCATTCTCATCAACAAATTCTCCAGAAGGGATTCACCCAGGAACCGGCCAAATCAACGATCATCCTTTGGAAACGCCTCGTCGCCAGGTTCTCTCCATCTTCCACCATTGGTGTGGCTGAAGGATTCGGCCACACCAAAAAAAGAACCGATCAGATCTGCCTCTGACCCACAGTTTTCCGCAAGTCTGGCAGGTCTTCGTGACGAGTTCGGTCGATTCTGGCGCTCAGAGTGAGAGATCTCAGCTCAGAAAAAGAATCGTCGGCAAGGAGATCGGAGATCGGAGGAGATGCATGTCTTGCACTTTTCGAACGGCAACACAAAGGCGTCGACCAGCCGCTTGTGTGGCAGGGCGGGTCCAGCACCGAGCTGCATAGCGCGCGGTGGTCGGGCTGGCCTGCCGGGCTGGTCTGCTGGCCTGGTCCGTTGGCCCACAGTCAGGGTCAGTAAAAAGAAGTGCCGCAACGTCCAGACTTCCGGAGGAGCCTTGTTCGGTGATCTTCAATCGCTTTCCCAATCAAATCGGCTTTCACTTGGCAGTTTCAGAACCATTGTTGCATAGCCCGCAGCGTTCCAACAGTATCCTAGAAGAAGTGTTTCAAGAAGAGCTCGCACAGGAAACATGCATCTTCAGCATTGAGGGGATGCTGGGCCAATAGCTTCTGCGTTTCGCTTCCCGGCCTTCCATCTGTTGCATGTTCTGCATTTTCCAGCTGTTCTGCATCCTCCAAACGAACCTAGAGACCCTCACCGTACCAAACCCTCCAGGACCGAAGCCGGGGAGCGTCCAAAGACGTGGCGCCGAGGCCTGGCTGACTGCAAGGTGCATCCGGGTCAACATGGGAATGGTGTGGATACAGAAGTTGGCCACAGCATCTGCGCATGTGAAGGGTCCTACTATGTCCTACTCTTCAAGGTCCTGTTCTTTCATCGCCCATTCTTCAAGGTCCTTTTTCTTTCATGTCCATGGCCCTCGCCACGCGTCTTCCGGTCACACGCGCGTCCGCGTGTTCACGTCACCGCGCGATCCAAGGCCTTGGGACACCGTCTCCACCAGGCTCGGAGCTCGCTCATACCAAGCCCTCGGCCGTCGCCTCGATGAAGTTGTCCTCGGAGCGAGCCAACTCCACTCAGCTCGGCGGGGGGCGGAGCTGGAAGGTGCCGTTTCAAGGACCTGAGGAATGGTGCAATGGAGCTGCTGCACCGGGGTTTTTTGAGTGCAGTCCAACCCTGGAGGCCTTCATCGACAACGCGGTGGTCTGACTGTGATCATATGTCAGAAGGATGTGATGCGACTGTCTCAGAGTGGTTTAAGCGTTGCGCTCGCCCGATGAAAAACCTCTCCAATCACCAACACCAACTAGAAGACGATATCGCTGAATCTGGTGGGGTGATTCAAGTCACTTCTCCATATCATCGGAAAATATCACCCAGATTCCCAGATCGAAAGATTTGGTAGCCATTGGAATCAACTTAGGTAGGGCTTCAGTCAACTCGTCATGTTTGCGGCCTAGTATCCACCGTTTTCCTGTGGTGTCTCCCTTTAAACAACCAACGAAGACAGTCAATCCAAGTTGGTGTCTCCCTACATGAGGTGGATATTCATGGGTATGCGACAGACACAGCCCACACATGGGAAGCCCCAAATCGACTGTTCAAACGTCATATCTTGGGGAGCTTTCAGGAACTAAGCCAAAGGTGTTCTTTTACGGCTTTTGTGCGCCTGTTTCGCACAAAACGGATTTCCAACATGATTGAAACGCATGCCGCAACCGAAATAGAGCGGGGTGGGGCTCGTCTTGAAGAACCGTGTTGGGATGTCTGCGGAAGCACAGAAAAACAGGACTCTCTGAGCTTGCCATCAGTCTGCTCAGTGGAGCGTGAGCTACGGCTATCTTAAGCGGCCAAACGGCGGCCGGATCGGGTGGATGGCTGTGGCGGCATTCAAAGGCTGCATGTGACGTCTGTGTGGGGCACCAAGCAGTAGCAACCTCATACACAGGCTGAAGCGACCTGGCTGAAGCCAAAGTCTTGGCTCACAGGCCGATGAGGCTCTGTCACATATAGACATTGAAACACTGAGTCCACTCAGGCGTGCGAAATCCACCACCTTGAGCAGACTGCGTTTCACTACGCCACATGATGTTGGCACAACTGGCCTGAACTGGCTTCGCGCAAGATGTACAGCAAATTTCACTTGCAGGTCCGCATTGGAATGATGAAAGATCTGACTTCAGAGTCTTGTGAAAAAGCAGTGGGCGGCCATGTTCGCGTATGCGCGCACCAGCGCGCGTGCGCAAGCGCGCTTGTGCGCGCGTGGAGTGCTGACCGCAATGACCAAGGTGAGGAGAGGGGAGTTGGTCGCCTCCCACAAGTCACAGGCAAACCAAAGACAAGTTTTGGAGAAACCAAGTCATATGATCAAAGAAGGCATTGAAAGGGCATTGTAGGCGGAGGAACATGTGGGCCTATGTGGGCCTATAGCCTGCTCTGAGATGAAACGAGGCCTTTGTCTTGACCATGGGCCCTGCTTCATTGGACATAGACAACGGCCACAAACGGGCCATCCTTCTCAGGGCGCCATGAGCCTTCTGCCTTTGCTGTGCCCATGAAGGAATCAGGGCAGGTCCGAGGCCCGGCCTCAAATTGTAAGGCAGCCAGCTGCGACTGGTCAGGGCCATCGCTACATCGCTTCTAGGTTGGAGGCCATTGCTATATTAGAAACAAAGAAAAAAAGGTAGAACAGTCTACAGTATTATAGTTTGCTAGTAGGTTGGAGGTCATCGCTCTGAGGTTGGAGGCCATTGCTACTAGAAACAAAGAAAAGGAAGAAAGGTCTACTGCAGTTGCTATTAGGGAAATGACAGCGATTTAGCCCTTGCACGTTCTGCAGGGCCGCGTTGATGCGAATGAAAGCACAAATGATGAATCTAGCAGACTCGTGAACGCTTCCAATTGAAAGCTAATTCAGTTTCCCTATGGATCTACTTACCTTCTGAGAAGGTGATTGGAGACTATACATGCAGGCTTGGAGTGTCCAATGATCTTCTGTGAAGGTGGCAGTGGATCCATAGGGTTCAAAATGGTTTAAATAAGGTAAAATGATGTTAAAGCGCATTCATGGAAGGGCAAGTTTGCTGTAGGACCGCAGGACCCAAAAGCACACGAAAGGGCTGAGAACTCGTGCTGAGGGGCTGGGGCAAGAGGGCACATCGTGGCTTGAAAGAATCTCAAAGGAAAACAGGCACATGCGTCAAGTGCAAACCCAGCAACTATATGTCAGTTCATACTCTCCAATAAGTTCAAAATAAGACATAAATCATCATCATCATCATCATCATCATCATCATCATCATCATCATCAT